AAATGATAAAGCTTTAACCTTTGGCAAACTTACTCTTAAGCACTAAGTGGTTTTCACGCTTAAAACTCTCACTTTACTTCGCTGAATTACTTCTATATTTATAGAGATTCCTCAGCTCACAAAGTAAGGTTTTCGTAAATAAGATAAGTTAAACTGAAATCTAATCTTATCTCTTTAAAACCGAAACCAAACAGGTTTAATTTCATTTTATCTAAAAACCAAATCTTATCAAATTAGTTTTGATTAAAAGATAGAATTTTATGAAAAAGATAAAACCAAGTTAAATCAGATTTTAAGAATAAAGTCAAATAAATACTTTTTCATAAAACTTATAATTATCTTTTACGAATTGATTAGTTTGCCAAGCCTTATCTGATTTCTAATAAGTTCCATGCATAACAACCATTAATATGTTTACATCAACCTACAAAACAAACTTATCTTTTATACAACTATAAATTATGAAGTTCATCTTTTTCGGTTGATATCTTGATTTTTACATTGATCCTTGGTTGTTGAGGCTTGCCCCAGCATTACACCGGAACTAGGTCGTTACAATCCGTTTTGAAGTTCCTGTTAAGAAACTTCGGGAAGTTCCATTGCTGGAACTCTTCTTCTGTCTTTACTCGTCCTCATGGATCTTCTAAAATTCCTTTGTCTCAGTTCCTACTTCAGCCACTGCTTACTGAACCTGCAAACATCACAACACTAGAAAATCCTTATTAGAAAGAAGTTTGCTCAATTCTTAACATCATCATCAAAACCTCATAAGGGTCAACAGTTTCGGTAAAACTTATACTTCCATCCGTTTTGCAATATCTAAAATGTTTTTCATGTCACAAAGCTAAGAAAAAAAGTGTAGTGAGTTGATTTTAATGAATTGCTGAATTAAGTTAAAAGTGAAGTTGGTATAATCGTGATGCTTTTCGTGTCGTGTCAAGCTCGTGACAATCTTTCAAATCAAAGTCTATGCATGACCCTATATGTCCATATGTCATGTCCTGTTAACTGGCTTTCATACTTTTACTCCATGTTAAATTGGTAAAAAATAAGCAAGAGGCTTGTCATGCTCGTGTTAAACTTGTGCCAAGTTTAAAAATGATGTCAATGCACGATCTATGACCTACCAACTTGCTTCTCATGTCGTGTAGGCTTATATGCTTGTGTCCGATCAAATCAATTTGTGCCATGTCTAACTGAACTTTGTGCTGACCTATGTGCATAGCACCTCTTAGACTCTAAGTGGAGCCTTGGGAGACACAACATAAATTGCCTAAACAATTAAAATATTTTAAATATTGATCAGTAAATTTAAAAGTAACGATAAACTAACACTGTTGGAGATTACAAATACTAAGTATATTAGATGTAAAGTATTTGTTACTTGGTTTCATTAATGCAAGAAATGTTAGTTAGCTAATGTAGTACTAGTATAAGCAGATGTAAGCTCAACTTCAATGGCTACACTTTCTCTCTTCTCTTTTCTTCCTCCTTAAACTTTGAAATTTAACAAACACATATTTTTATGAGAAAGTAAATGAGATAGAATGAAATGTTATGTATTAATAAAGGAAATTTTGTGAGATAACACCTTTTAAAACCAAATTGTTGTGAAAAAACACCTTATAAAATTTTTCTTGTTAAAAGACACCTAATACCAGAATATTTTTGAGAGAACACACCTTAGAGCAGTTTTAGGGGGATTAACTCGGTTTTCTGGCATTGACCATCACGAGAAGATCACATGCCGACAACCTTCCTTTCTTTTCCTTTTTTTTTCTCCAATTATTTTCTCTCTCCTCAAGACCACCAAAACACAACCTAGCCAACCCAGCCGCCAACACCGACACCACCGCCTAGCCAACCCGACCACCAACACCACCACCCACCAACCTAGCTGCCATCACTAGCCACCCAAATCATTCTAAACCCACCACGTACACCATACAATACCCACCAAAACCACTAGATCCAACATGAAAACTACCCAAAAAACCCTAAGCATCTCCATAAACACCCCTAACCACCTCATAAACAACCTCAAACATCTTGACAAAAACCCTTAACACCCTAAAACAAAATAATATAGAGAAAAGAGGGTTGGTAGTGATTTTTCCCCCTTTCATACCTCCAATTGAAAACCCTAAACTTAGGTAAATAAAAAACGACAAAATTAACAATAAATTTCATTAAATTTAACAACTTATCTGCCTCACAAATAGGTTAATTAACGTTCTTTGCAGCAATTTGAGCAAAAAATGGAGTTTACCCCTTCAATTGATAGAATTTGAAGGTTCATTGCTAGGAAGAAAAGAGGAGAGAGAGAGAGTAGTCTAATTAGAGGGGAAAGGGGAAAAAAAGAAAGGAAGGGGTTTTCTCAAGTGGTTGGTGATCAGGTGTTGGTGGCTAGCTTGGTAGGTGGTGGTGTTGGCGGTTGGGTTGGCTAGGCGGTGGTGTTGTTGTCGGCGGCTAGGTTGTAGTTTGATGGTTTTGAGGAGAGAGAAAGTAATTAAAGAAAAAAGGGGGGAAAATAAAGAAAGGGTGTTGGCACATGACCATCACGTGATGGTCAACGCCGGGAAACTGAGTCAATCCCCCTAAAACCGCCTTAAGGTGTGTTCTCGCAAAAAAATTTTGGTTTTAGGTGTGTTTTAACAACAAAAAAAAAATTATAATGTGTTTTTTCACAACAAAAGGGTTATAAAATGTGTTATCTGACAAAATTTCCATTAATAAAAGAAGCATAAAAAATAAAGGGGAATAATAGAACACAAAGTATAAAAATGAATGATCAAATTGGGGGAGTATTTAATTTATTAGTGCTTTAAATTCAAAAGTATCGTGAAAGTCCAAGTTATGTTTATTATTAGGAAAAACCTTTTAAAGCAATTTTTTTGACAACTAGAAATCAGATTATAAATTGTTTTTTTTTTTTGTTCAAGACAACCAAGACTCACATTCCGACATTGACTTTGTCATTTTCTTGTTGACCTCCCATGTGCAGGTCACATGACCTTTTTTTACTAATCTCACCCCATTTCTTCTAATTTTCCCCCTAATTTCCCTCTAACCTCTATTGTATTTATTCTTCCCCCTTTTCTTCTAATTATACCCCATCTTCTCTCTCCTCTCTTCAGAAATGAGGTAATAAATTAAATCATCTTCAAGCTATTCTTTGCCATGGTTTCACCCTAAACCTGCAAATTAATCAATAATGAAGATATGAAGTGAAGTTAATTAGTTTAGCATATTAGCTTATACACACGTTAAAGCAATAATTTAACCGAACAATACTTGGAGGAGTGTTAATGTGTTATGTGCATGAACACCTAAGCAGATCTATTAATCTAACTAATTAATTTATTATTAAATATGATATTAATGATCGGTAACACGGAGTAATAACCATGCCCTCCATGCTCGGTGTTACACTCATCAACTCCACTTAATCGACAGTTGGAGCATTACAAAACTATACACCTAATTAAAGATCCAATATGTCGGCATACCCAACTTTTGGACAAGTGGAACCAACTCTAGTTGTATATTTAATTACTAATTCTACAATAATAATATACTAACTTTATGTTATTGCTATATAATACAAAACTTTGTTACATTAACTTCATCAACAACTATACTACACCAAAAATCCTCCTTTTTTCATATATCAAACCAAAAACCTATCAAAATGAATGAAGATAACGGGGGGGAGGAAATACAAGAAGTAGTGAGTGAACAAGAAGTTGAACAACTTATGCAAAACCTTCTTAAAGTAACCATAATGAGTAACAAACTTGAACTAGTAAACTATCAAGGGTTTTGGCATCCTAATATAAAAAACTACCTTAAGACTTTTAAGAGTACCCTAATGTTTCAACGACACTTTCAACCTCGAAACACCGATATTATCATAGCTAGCTTCCCTAAAACCGGTACCACTTGGTTAAAATCGTTACTCTTTTCGGTTATTAATCGTTTTCGTTACCCTAAAGATCAAACCCCTTTGCTCAAATATCATCCACATGAGCTTGTGTATGGATTAGAGGTTGATGTTTATGGCAATGCTTTCGAGTATCCTCGGCCTCAACACCTTGATGAGCTTCCTTCGCCGAGGCTTTTCCACACCCACTTGCCCTACACTTCTCTTCCGGAGAGTATAACGACTTCGGGGTGTCGGGTTTTGTACATTGGTCGGAATCCCTTGGACACGCTCGTTTCGTTGTATTACTTCTCTATAAAAATGATGAGAAAGATGGAAGGGGAAGATTTTTGTTTTAGTATGGAGGACTATTTTGAGGATTTTTATGCTGGGAGGATGCCACATGGGTCGTTTTTTGAACACGTGGTTGGATACTGGAAGCAGAGTTTAGAGCGGCCTGATAAGGTGTTATTTTTCAAGTATGAGGATTTGAAAGAGGATCCGAAATTTCATGTGAAGAGGTTGGCTGAGTTTGTAGGTGTACCATTTTGTTTAAAAGAAGAAAGTGAAGGTGTAATAGAAGATATAGTAGAGATGTGTAGTATAAATAATCTAAGAGAATTAGAGGGTAACAAAAGTGGGGTGATTAACAAGTACTTTGAGAAAAATAGCTATTTTAGGAAGGGGAAGTTGGGGATTGGACTCATCATTTAACACCTTTAATGGTAGAAAGGATGAATAATCTCATGCATGATAAACTTGAGGGTACTGGTTTATCCTTCAAAATGGTCCAGCCTACTTCGTTAAAAAATTAGGTTACTTCTTAATTAATGTGTATTAAGTAAGCCGGATTAGTAAAGAAAGTTTTAAGTATCTACTTCTGTTTCATTTTGATGTTTTATGTTGGAATTTTATAACATATCACAATTTGAGACTTGTAAAATTATCGTATTCAAAATATATTTATTCCGTCTTTATTCACTTAACAATTTTAATCAAGATAAGTCTGTAAATTAAATTGGTGCATATTCACAGAGTATAAGGAAATTGTGTTAGCCAAATAGAGATGGAGGGACTATGAGAAAAAACATAGGTTATTAAGGTATTGTTTGATTTGTCTCGCTAAGTATTCCAAGAATTTTATACATTTGTACTATTGTTAAGGAATAAAGATGTACAAATGTACAATGACATGCAAAGTCAAACCAAAACACACACACACACAATTATTCAAGTAACAACAGAAATGCAAAATGGAAAAGTACATAAATAAGCTAAGTACACATCTAAAATACCCATAACAACCGTCTTTCAAGAGTAGAAAGTACCCAATTCTACTCCATAGACACCACCATGCTTAACACGACATACTCATGGCTCATTTACCGTTACTCACGAGCCACAACGACGAGTTGCTTCCCAACATTACGGCCAGAGAAGATCCCAATCAAGGCAGAAGGAGCATTCTCTAGTCCTTCAGCAACATCTTCAACATATGAAACCTTGCCTTCCCTTATGTATGGCAGGATCATTTCCAAGTATTTAGGGTAGAGATGATAATGATCGAAAGCTATAAATCCTTCCATACGAATGCGTTTAGCTATAATATTAGATAAATTGTAGACTCCCTCAGGCTGTTGGAGATTGTACTGTGAGATCAGCCCACAGACTGGGATTCGGCCATGAGGTCTCATGTTCAATAGAACCGCGTCAAGCATCTTCCCTCCAACATTCTCAAAATAAATGTCAATGCCTTCCGGAAAGTACCTAAGCAAAGCAAGATCTCCAAAATATAAGTTAGTACTCCCTCCGTTAAATGTTATGTGTAACTTTAATTTGAGGTATTATTATTTGTAAGAGATAAAATATTCCAAAGTTGTACATAACATTTAACGGAGGTAGTATTGTGGATGTTCCACTAGCACTACTGGCAATGGTCATTTAGACATTAAGTTTTGCACAATGTTAAATATTTGGCCTAAAGCATCATACATACTCACCGTTTCAAGGTTGCATCCAAGTCTTCCTCTTCTTTGTAATTGAAGGCTTCATCAAATCCAAATTTGTTTTTCAATAAATCAACCTAACATGGCAGGAAGTTATGAAAACAAGTTAGAACTAGATAATTTCAAAATCAGAAACAGAGCTTCTATTGCAAAGTTATATGAACATCGCCTTTTTATATAAACCCAAATAAAGATAGAGCAACTTAATTCCATTAATTATCCTTCAAAAATCAAGTGATATATAATGGTATCAAAATAGCATTTAAATGTGTTTGTCAATAAGAAAATCACCTTCTCTTTGCTACCAGCACTTCCCACAACATAGCAACCAGTTAACTTTGCGAGTTGTCCAACTAATTGACCAACAGCACCAGATGCCGCGGAGACAAAGACATGATCTCCCTTCTTAGCAGATCCAATTTCATACAAGCCTGCATAGGCTGTAATGCCAGGCATTCCTACAAATTGATAGAAGACAAACATATCAAATGAAAAACAGATTGGAACGCTGCAACATTGCTGAATCCATAACGAAGCTTACCAAGAATCCCAGTATAGTAGGAAAGCGGAACATCTGTATGCTCGATTTTAAAGGAAAGCTGAGGTGATGAAACAACACTATATTCTTCCCAACCAGTAAAGCCCCATACAAGGTCGCCTGCCTTGAAGTTAGGATGCCGAGAATCCAGTACTTTTGACACTCCATATCCGATGATGGGCTGCATATATTCAGCATCTTAGTTAACAGACCAACATTCATGTCAAACTAACAAATCTTTATCACTACTTTCTCAACCTAGATAATCAAAAGTATCAAATTAACAAATCTTTATCACTACTTTCTCAATCTAGAAAATCAAAAGTATCAAATTTTGTTTATGTAGCTTAGGTTCCCTTAGGAATACTAATATAGTTACGAATTCTTTACATTTAAAAAGGTTTGGAATAAACATGCAAGCTTATTACTTCCCTCCCCTCGTCTTCCTTTTCTCACATCATGTTTAATTTAATTATATAACACTCCAATCCTCCAAATGCCTATTAGCCCTATTTAGCACTTCAATTATAAATCCAATGAATGCAATTTACCAAAAAAATAGCACATGCCACTTATTCCAACAAATATTCTAGGCAATAAACCAACACTAATTAATACTTTAGCATAGTACAATATAATCAAATTGCATAAGCACTCAAATAATTAACTAGAAATATTAGCATTTATATTTCCACTCTTTTCTTCTTCCTTAAATTAGAGTTTAATACTACACTACCCTACCACAAATAATCAATATCAATATCAATATCAATCAATATATATGTATTAAAACTCAATGACATAAATTGTAATCTTGCCACGTGTTGCCAATCTCGTCCGTGTTGCCATGTCACCTATTATTACTGATTATACATCAATGTTTTCTCATAAAATTTATAATGTATTAGCATTAATATTTGAACTCATAACCTCATATATATTCATTAAAGTTAAACTTTAACTAACCAGTAACCACCACTCCAATGACATCTTATGATGATAAAATTGTATTAAAAAGTGTTACTCATGTTCATAAATTCTAAAATTTTAATTGTGAACTTATACACTAGTGGAAAAATTGTCATTTGTAACACCCTATTTGTAACGGACATGATAAAATCCGTTACAAAAAAGAGTAATTATAACGGGCAAAATTTTTTATCGTTACAGAAAAACTTATTTGTAACGGGCAAAAAAATGTCCGTTACGAATAATTAATAATTGTAACGGGCAAATTAATTCCCGTTACAAATAGTTATTAATTGTAACGAACAAATATAAATCCCGTTACAACTAAATAACTTTCTAGGGTTAAAGATCGGTTCCTACATACTTCCCCAGCCGCTTTTCTTCCTCACTCCTCTTCTCTTTCTCTCTCCTCAAATCACTCTCTCTTTCTGCATTTCTCTTCTTCCTCAGTCATCTTCTCTTTCTCTCTCCTCAAATCACTGTCAACACTGCTCATTTCTCTTCCCGCATTTCTCTTCTTCCTCACTCGTCTTCTCTCTCTTCTTGTTCTTCAAGCTCAACAACAATGGCGGCGACTCCATTGTCAGTCGAGAAGACCACCTCTGGTAGACTCGAAATCGAGCTTGCCGAAGTCGAAATGCCTGGACTTATGTCTTGCCGTACTGAATTTGGTCCTTCTCAACCTTTTAAAGGTGCTAAGATGACTGGATCTCTTCAAATGACTATTCAAACTGCTGTTCTCTTCCCGCATTTGAAATGGACTGTTTTTTCTAGGGTTCAAGATCTCAGATCTTGTGATTTTTTATTTTAGTGGGATTTGGTATATAATTAGAGTTTAAAATGAATAAGTGTTTAATTTGTGCAATAAATAATTCGAAATGGGTTGTTCATTTCTGGATTCTTAAGATCTCAGATCTTATAGAATTATGGGGGAATTAATTAATATTAAAATTAAAATGGATGATTTAATGGTGGTATTACTGGTATATACTTAATTTGACTCCATGAATAGTTGCGATTTTAAGATAAAGTATATTTTAACAGCAATATGATTGCAAAATTAGTTTCATTTCTTTGATCAGTTACTCAACCATGATTCATATAGGTTATACTACCTCCGGTCCTTTTTAGTTGTAACTTTGGGGGTCATTGCGGAGGCCGAGGCAAAACTTTTAATGGGTTGATTAGAAAAAGTAAGGGTAAGTAATTAGGGGAATAATATAGAGGGAATACATGTGGTACCATAATTTGACTTTTTTGGACCACTTGCACTTTTTGATTTTTAGTGGGAATTTCCCACCAACAGATTCTGGCAGCATACAAACAGGTGGGAAAATTGTTTCCCACTTTGTTTCCCTCCTAATTTTTCACCCCAAATTCAAATTTTTTCCAATTTCTTCCAAAATTCGAATTTTTCATTGTCATTCAAACAAAATGCCCCTTATAAAAGGAGGGCATCCTTTCCAAAACCCCATATCAAAAGAACAGTTTTAGGGGAATTGGGGAAGGGTTGGGGGTAGGATAGTTAAGTTAGGTTACATCAGAAATAATGTTTTGTCAATTCAAAATACAGGCAGCCCTATCAAATTACATCATTCTAAATCCTAATTCCTAAAGTTGTGTTAGTAGATGCAACTTTTTTAATTACAGGAATAGGCTCCATTGAAGACCGACAAAAAACAACCAGCCGCCACTTTATCACTAAAAAGCCACCCTGAAAAATAAAAATTGGAGGGACTCATGGCAGAGTTCATAGATGAGCTTATGGATGAGTACATTCAGCATCAACAAGCATTGGATGATGAATTCATAGAAGATAAACAAATTCAAGAAGAATATCCATGGTGGTACGATTCAGATGATGATCAACAACAAGAACAGGAAGCCAATGATGATGGATATGATGCAGATGATTATGCAAATAATGAAGAAGCACGACAGCATGTTAGAGCAAGCAGAGAAATGAATGTAGAAGAGAAAAGAGCACTTGTTGATGAGATTATGTTGCACATGGAGGGGGACTCACTACCAAGAGGCTTCTTAGCCAATTTGGCTAGAAAACATTCAGTGCACAAACCAACAACAACAAGGTGGTTCAAGGTAATCAAACAATATCTTGCTAAAAGTACTGTTGTTGATGTTAATACCAAAAAATTAGGCAGGACAAGACCCAAACCAAAAGTGTACATAGATGAATTTCTAACATCAGTACCACTATACAAGAGAGGGACAGAGAGATGTTATGATGCAGCCCTCAAAATACCAAAGACAGCACTCCACAGACTCAGGCAACAAGGCAGGATGAGAACACACACCAGCACAAATCGTCCAGCTCTTACAGAGAAGCACAAAGTGTCAAGACTCAAATGGGTCCTAAGTCACATAGATCCCATTTCAACAAAAAGGGACCCAAAATTCAGAGACATGTAGCAATGGATACATTTAGATGAGAAATGGTTCTTCATTAATCCAGAGACAAGAACATTTTATTTGCTGCCTACAGAGGAAGATCCATACAGGGCACAACAATCAAGGAGATTCAAGATAAAAGCAATGTTCATGGGAATGATTGGGAAACCCTTGTTTGATGAGCAAAACAACACGGTACATGATGAGAAATATGGTCTATTTCCTTTTGTCAAGTATGAAATGGCCAAAAAGAAAAGCAAAAACAGAGATGCAGGGACTCTAGAGACAAAGGCACTTCAAAGTGTCACAAAAGAATGCATTAGGGACATGCTACTAACACATGTGATTCCAACTATCTATGAAAAGTGGCCAGAACAGCTACCTAAGGACATCTTCATTCAATAGGATAATGAAAGACCTCATCAAGTTCTAAAAGATGAAGAATTTCAGGCAGCTTGTCATGCACATGGATTCAACATTCAATTCATTTTCCAACCAGCTCAATCACCAGAAACAAATGTATTAGATTTAGGTTTGTTTAGTGTTATTCAATCACTACAATACCAATCATTCCCAAGGAATCTAGATGAGCTCATAAAGGAAGTTGCTAGAGCTTTTGAATAGTTTGATCCAGTTTTGAACAAGTACACATGGATCACACTACAATCATGCTTGATTAAGATAGTAGAGAAGCAAGGTGGGAACAACTTCTCTCCCCCTCACATGAAGAAGAGAAGTTTGGACAGTCAAGGTCTACTACCACAGTTACTAGAAGTTGACAGGAATCTCATTGGTCAAGTTGTTCAATATTTAGATTCAGTGACAGTAATTGGTGATTATCAAGAACACATGGAAGTGGATGCAGAATGAAGCACATGAGGAGGACATTGCAAATGGAATAAGGACTCAACACATGACTGCCACACATAACCTTTTAATATTCTAACAACTTTTTGAGTGAGTTTATGTCTAGGTTATGTGTCGTTTTGGTAAATACAAGTTACACATTTATTAGGCAGTCATGTATTCATTATAGTGTTAATCTTTTGTTTAGTGATACATGTAATCAACCACGCTTTGAAATGTTTTGTAACTAATACTTCCATCAGAATAGGTGTTTTTTCAGTCAAAGCTTTAGTGAGTGTTGGTACCTCAACAAAACCTCATACAGAGATTACAGGAGCATCCACACCACCCAAGTAGCTATCAGGTGAGTCCCATCCTCATTTGGAAAATAAACAAGGTATGCATTTACAGTTGGGGGGACTCAATGCATTTTAGGGACTCAAATGCCAAGGAAGGACATCTAGTACATGCATCTATGATCAACCAGGGGACTCAGAAGGGATGTGTTAAGCATTAAACATGTCACATGGTCCAACTAACACAATTACAACCTATAGCAACCTAGAGCATAACCCTAGGACAACCATAGCACCACAATAGCCACAAGACAGAGCACAACCCTAGCAGCACATAAGCCACGAGACTGAGCACAAGCCTACCAGCACACAACACAAAGCAGAACCAAGACAACACATAGCACAACCCTACCAGCACACAACACAGAGCACAACCATGCCAGCACACAAGACAGAGCAGAACCAAGACAACACAGAGCCCAACCCTATCAGCATTTAAGATACAGCAGAGCCAACACAGGCCATGTAATCCCCCATATTTTTAAATATATTATAAATGAATTTATATATTATTTATAATATTTATTTGTATTTTTCCGGAATTTAATTTCAAAAGTTTCAAATTATTTTTGAGGTTGATAAACGATTTTATTACAAAGAA